TGTGTGTATGTGTGTGGGTGTATGTGTGTGTGTGTATGTGTGTGTGTGTATATATATGTATTTATATACATATATATGTGTGTATGTGTGTGCGCGCATGTGTGTGTATATGTGTGTATATGTATGTGTATGTGCGCGCGCGTGTGTGTGTATGTGCGTGCGTGTGTTTATATATATGTGTGTGTATGTGCGCACGTGTGTGTGTGTGTGTATGTGTGTGTACTACTAAACCTGTGTATACCATAGCAATCGTATTCACATAGAATTATGAATGTGAATGTCTGTGTGCATGGTATGTTTATGCATGTCTATATATGTCTGCTTGATGTCTGTTGCATTTCTGTGTATGTCTGCGTATGCCTGTGTATGTCTTGCATACTTTTTGTGTGTGTATACGTGTATACGTTATGCTGCTTATGCATGTCTGTGTATGTCTATGTATGCCTGTGAAAGTCTATGAATGTCTGTGTATGTCTATGCGTATCTACGTGTACGTCTGTGCATGTTTGTGTATATATGTGTATTGTGTCTGTGTATGTCTATGTATGTGTGTATGTCTGTATGATTATGTATATGTTTCCATTTCTATGGATAACTGTTACTTGCATATTTCCTTGTTCAAGTTCCTGTCACGTCCGTGTATGCGTGTATGTCTCTGCGATTTTAGTTACACATGCATACATACATAAATACACACATACACATATGACATTGGCGAGAAATGTTTGTGTCGGTGGATGTATGTTTGTAGGTGTTTGTTTCTTTTCTGTTTATATATATATATATATGTGATTCTTTTATTTATAATATACATAGTTATGTTGTCTATACGTACGAATGAATATACGTGAAGTTATGGGTACAAATATATGAACTTATATATGTGCATATTCGTATACATTCGCTTGGATGTGTATGTGTACGTGTGCGTGCGTTTGTGTGTGCGTGTATGTGTGTGTATGTGTATATGTATGTGTATATGTATATGTATATGTGTTGTATGTTTGTGTGTGTGCGCATGTGTATGTATGTGCGTGTATATGTGTGTCTGTGTGTGTATGTATGTGTGTGTGTGTGTGTGTGTGTGTGATATTTGCAGATGTCTGCAGCAATTTGTTTACGTATGGACGAATGTGTAGATAGTATGTGAAGTATGTTAGTTGTCGGTAAGTGTATGTGACGTCTAGAAATCAGTATAGAGAAGCAAAATGATCAAAAATATTAGTGTCGGTGAGTGTATATGTATATGTGTGTGTGTGTGTGTATGGATGTGTATGTATAGATTTATATATATATGTGTGTATGTATGTGCGGCATACATCAACATTCACTGTGATACCTCCCGCAGCCATACATACACACATACAGACAGACACATACATACGCACACACACATACACACATACACATATTTTGTCGGTGTGTTGCTGTGAGTTGTGCTGATGACGATCGGTCTTCGTGGTACCCGCAGGCCGATTTTTTCTAACAGAAAGATTTGTGGTACCATCGGTCACGATAAAAATTGAGATCGGTTAAGGGTGGTCGAATTGGAAAAGCTCGATTACTTTTCTGTATATCTTGTTGATTAGCAATCAGTACGAGTTACTTTACTTGTTTACTTATTGGGAATAACTTGTTGCTATTGTTGATGTTGTTGTTATTTAGAATTGTTTCTTGTTGAAAGGAAGTAATAGCTTATCTGAGGAATGGATGATCATTTCCAGGCTTATTGATCGCTTTCACTATTTAAGTCCAGCAATTTCGAAATTACGAAATCTTCCATAATGAAAGAAGCATTTTCAGATGAGAAAAGTGCTATATATTGTAATTTAGATCCTTCCTTCATATAAATTTGATTCCATGACAATGTAAAATTTTGAATTTAAAGAATTAACAATATAACAATTTCGAATAATTAGAGTTTAATAATTAGGATTTAAGTAACATTTTGAAGAGTTGCTTATCGATTTGCCTTACCAAGATAAAAATTGAGGAATAGTAGTTATGTAGAATATTCAACAAACTTGTTCACGTATACTTTGATAGCATTGATATGTCTACGTGTATTGATATGACTACGTGTTACGGATCACATTCATATATTTTATTTAACGATGGATAGAAACATGAGGAAAGAATAGAAAAAAAAATTCATAACAATGAGCCTATCCTATCCGAAAAAAAAAAACGCTGTTAAATTTCGGATTTTAAGATAAACGAGCGTTTTACCTAGGAAATCGAGAAATTATTTGTTGCTTGCCCTTTTTAAATTTTCAGGTCGTTGTAATCTAGCTGATCGTATTAGATTTGATATAAAACTTTCAGATTTCAATTTAAATTCCCGAATTTTTTTCATGATTTCAGAAGATTTCACACAAAAAATAGCAAAAAAATGTCAAGCGAAGCAATCGTATGGACGGATGCAATGCGTGAGGTGTTAATTAAATCGGTACAGCGTCAGGAATGCATATGGAATTTCTCTAATGTTGATTATCGAAATGCTGCCAAAAAACGACAAATTTTTTGGGAAATTGCGCAGGAAATGTCGGAATTGTTTGGTATCGTATTTAAAGGTTAGTAATAATTTTTAGTAATGATTAGAGTGTTTATAATAATGAACATGATTACACTGTTCGATATGATAATTGATAATGATGATGATGATGATGATGATAATGATAATGATGATGATGCTAATGGCGATAATAAATGCTTGAGATTGAGAATTAAAGTGAAAAGGCAGGTGTTGTATAGGAGGAAAATAATCAGAGTTGTAAACAGAATTGTTTACTGTTCCTTTTCCTCTTTCTCTTTTCTCATCATCTTTCTCTTTCTGTCTTTCTCTCTCTCTCTCTCTCTCTCTCTCTCTCAGTCTCAGGTTTCCACTTAACTATAGCAGCAGTAATTCATTCTTTTTTTTTTAAATTTTTAATTTTGAATCATAAATGAAATTTTTCATTAATTCTGGATCAGAGTTCAATCTTTTCTTTAACTAGAATTCAGTTCTTTTATCTTACTCATTTCATTCTGATGATGTATTTTAATTTTTTTTTAGGATATTTTAGAGACTTCACATACCGGAAGAGAGACGAATAATCTTTTTTATTTTTGAAAATTGAATAGGAATAATTAGAGAAAGAAAGGCAGAAAGTGTATCCATATTGGCAGCCATTTTCGTAAATTTAGCGTTGTCTTTGCTGTAATATATATTGTATTATCTAAGTTGGAGGAATTTAACTGATAATTCCGTATGCATACAGACAGACATACATACACACACACTTTCGAACGATATCTTTCGGAAAAATGAAAAAAAAAACTGATTATTTGGTAAATTACCCGAAAAAGGGATGATAGCTATTAGGATTGAAATAAATGATGATAATGATGTGTCGGTATCAACATATAATTACCATTATTCATTTCATTTTTTGTTTTATTTATTCTTTTTTATTTTTACATCACTACTCTGGTCACTATCATTTATTTTACTCTTTCTATGCCTCTGTCTATATTTTTCTAACTTAAAAAGTTCAGGTACTCATACAAGTCGTCAATGGCAACACTTGCGAGATCAGTATAGACGAGCCAAGCGTCGAATGGAAGTGTCAAATGTTCAGATAAAACCGTGGCGTTTCATGCAAATGTTGAAATTTACGGATGCTACTGATATTGCCGAAGCAAATGATCCAATGTAAGTTATTTAGATATAAATTAAATTGGATAGGAAATTCAGTATATAGAATTCATTATTTTATATTTTTTCATTTTCTGTTTCACTCAATCATTGAACTGTATATGCTCTCTTCAAAGAAAATTACATTAGTACAATGTCTGTTTACATTTCACAAATGAGACGATTAATTTTTATTAAGGCAGGTTATTAGGCCTTCTTGATTTTGTAGTTGTAGTTCATTTCTCAATCCTTTTGCTTTCACACCAATTAAAATATCGATAGCAGCGTTGCATGAAATTTAAAAATACAGTTCAAATTTCTATAAAATCAAAAAGAAGTTATGAGCATCAATTCTTGACTAAAACGGAGTATAGAGATCAACATATTTCTGTTTGTAATATTAATAAATTATGTTTTGCGCCATATTCTTAAGGTTTGCAAGCAAATGTAAAATGTATAAGTTGAACTTTAAGAATCAAGATTTTTTGAACAAAGTTTAAAAAAATCACTGCAAAAAGTAATCTTAAATTCAGGACTTGAAACTGTTTGTTTTTTTTTTTAACCAGAAAAGATAAGATATAAAAGTTTTGGCTGTAGAAGTTAGCGAAAGCTGTAATGTAATTGTTTCAGTTTTCAATCACTAAAAAAGCTTCCGGAAATCTACCCTGGTCCAAACCGGTTCCTTGATTTCTGATTTTGATTATTTGAATGCAGTTCTCTGGATTATAATCCCATTTGCAGAAGTATTACTGGAGATTTCCGGGAATTCTTATTTGCTCAATCTGATTTTTTTACTAATTTTTTACTGAAAATCATTCATGGCCCTCAGAGCATTGAATTATGAATGATTCTCAATAAAAAAATTTGTAGTGTTGGAAACGAGTAATTGCATAATGTCCCGATAGCTATAACCACATATTTTTTTTAGTTTGATATTTGATCATTCGGTTTAAATTTTTAATTTCTCTGATTTGGGCATTATTAAGAATGTTTATTTTGCTATTGTTTCTGATCGTAGATATCCGTTAAAATTGGAATTGAGAATTTAAAATAAAGAAGTTATACTCTACATTTCCATTTACACTATAGCAACTTCAATGTATTGTAGAATAATGGATAAGTTCATTATTTGTCAATGGTAGCATTGTTCATTTTCCATTTCTAATTTAGTTGAAAATTTTTGAATAAATTTTGAAAAGAGCATCTTCAATATGATCAATGAGAAGCATAGAAGTGGAGCATATCTTTTGGATGATGAATAGATAAGTAAAGATGATAGTTATAACAATCACTTACGTAATTAATAGGCGAATTTTAAGAGCATTACTCTAGTTTGTTGGATTGATTTGAAACTACTCCTCTTTTGGTTAGTTCCCGTATCATTTCATCAACTTCAAACTTTTATGCTGTAAAGCTTTAGTTTATATTTTGCATGAAAATTCGTTGCTTGTTTTTTCTCCTCGTCTATTACAATTTTAATTCTTGAAATGAAATGGTCCACTGTCGCACATATCATCATTTGTATTATGTGTAAAACAAATACGTCTTTTCTCATTTTTGTTCAATTCACTTAAATTTAATTTTACAGAAATTCCATTTCTAGGAGCTACCTATATAATTCATTCTTGTTGGATGATCGGAACGTCCAACAACAACGACCGTATTCAACACCAAGTGCCTTGATGTCACAGGAACGTAAGGAAGGTGATCAGCAGTCTTCATATCCTATTTATCCATCCAAAACGGATGGATTATATCCTGTAACAAGTACCGTAACCGTAACGTGTAGTCCTAGTACAGCCGGGAATCCATACAGTTCAGTCGATCAGACTAACGAGGCTCTGGCGAACATTGAACGGTTAGCAAACATCGAACGGACGATTGAAGCAGTCTCAAAAGCGGAACAGTTTAGCGAAAGTTCGTTTCATCAAAACGGCGATGAATCATCGAACCATGATGGTTTCTTTCTTTATCTTTATTTGATTAAGTTTTGATTTCAATCATTTCAACGCGATATCAAATACAGAATGAAATGATATGCAAAAAATTGTATGGCATTATGTATGTATTATATATTATTGGATATAAAAATAACGAAAAAAAATCTTGAAAAACTAAAAATCTTTTTGTAAAAAAAATTGACATAAAATCTTATTGCAAGAGCAGATGAAATAGAAATCATGAATATGTAAATACTCTGGACTGAAGGACGAGATGTATAGCTACCTAAAATTGAATTATGACATATAGGGAATATATTTAATCACGGACAGAATATTGAGAAATAGTGAACTACATTTCTTAACCTGCAGGAAAACCGGTTGCTAAGATTTCTTAACTTACAGTAAAACCGGATGCTTCATGTCCACCAGTTGTTGGTTCAAAAAGGCGTTCTAGCGCATTACAAATGGCACATGGTATTGACCGAAAGACCGGGCGAGAAATTATCGATGAATTTACTCTTTTAGGTGCGGCATACGTTCATTTCTATCGCTTCATATTATTTTATCCACTTCAAATATTTAATTAGTAAACTAAAGCAATTTATTGTTTTTTGCTATCAACATTCATGCTCTTTCAAAATGCGTTTCAGGTCAGTTTGTGGAAAAAAAAGTAAGAGCAATTTCGATGAGGAATCCACGGCTTGGCTTAATAGTGCAGAAAAAGATCAGTGATTGTGTATTTGAAGCATCAATGGAATTGTTGGAAATCGATGTAAGTTTTTAATTTCATGATTGTTGTAGCCTCTACGGTGGTTTCGTTAACATATTATCAAATAACAAAACTTCTAAATCAGTCATTTTATAGTTCAACGCGATATCTTTTTTATATTCAGAGTGACAGATTGATAGTACTCCTAGGAAAGGATTAAAGACTTTGTAATACAATCACCACTTGATAGATAAATTCTGTTGAAAGTTATGGGTCGATATATTTTGTGAGAAATACATTGGATTTCACTTATAATTTCAGTAATTTCATATAATGATGATCGATTTCCTAAATATTTAAAATAATGCTGAAGTTGCATAATTTTATTCTTAATTATTTTGCTTTTTTTTCAGCATCCGGAAGTAGCACAGAACAACCATGTTAATTACAACGTGAATTAATGAGGAAAAAAGAAAAAACTGAGAGTTTGTAGATTTCTCATCTACTCTGTTTCACCTCAAGTAGGTGCAGTTTCTATCAGTAATCAACAGTCCACACTTCACTGTTCCATTTACAGCGTATAATTTTCCGACCATATTTTTTGATCATTTCTTCAGCTATTTGTACATACTCTTCTTCACACTGTTGCCGATCTTTTCCTAAACATTATGATATGTCAAAAATTAAACATTTTTTTCTGTTCATTTACAATTCATTTACTTTGCAACATAGCGTAGTTTCTATCAGATTTTTCCATCTCATGTGCTTTTAATGAGTTAATTATATAGTCTAACAAATAAGATGAACGGGGAATGAGAGCTATATCTGAGAAGCTTTTGATTTTTTGCAGTGGTTTACAAAACTGACATTAGATCAGTTTCACTTTTAGAATTTTTAATGAAATGTTCATTTTTTTTGCTACTCATTCTTCGCGTGCAGTTGTTTCCCATTTTTTATTAGTTAACGTTGTGCAAATATCTTTAGTAAAAGCATAAATTTACAAACTGCATAAGCTTGAGTCAATATCGTAAATTTATTTTTTGTTATGGAGATCAAGTCATCCAAAAAGTTAACCTTTGTTTCTTATCCAAGCATTGTATTTACGTAAATTCCACTGATTATTGTCGGATGGTTTGGCTAAAAAATTATAGATGAATGTGAAATGAATTCGGTTATAACATTTTACTAAGTGTTTAGAAATCTTTTTTGATATCTAGTCAGAACAAAAACGAAAGGTTTTGTTAAAGGAGAGTAAAGTGTAACTAATTAATTTTGAGCGCTGATTTTTTTTGTTTTTTTATGCTGGCATCTGTTCAAATGCTTGTTTTTCAAGTAAAAATCTAAATATTTCATTGTATATCTCATGTACATTTCAACATAAATGATCATTTTTGAGAATTGTAGAAATGCTTCTAATTTCCGGAACAAAAAATACAAAAAGAACGCCTAAAGTGGAAAGTCAAACATTAGCATCTGCTTATATAATAAAGGATTGTATTTATAAGTGCCGAATGTCTGTACGGTTTATGAAATAACTGAAAGCTCAAATAAAAAATAGCAGCAATAGCTAAAATAATGCTAATGAATGAGAAACAAACGGACGATAATCTTCGATGGATGGTATGTCGCCATGAATTGCTTGTTTATAAAGACCGTACAGTTGCAATTTCTCATTCTCATTTGGCTCACCATCGAGACGTCGCATTTCTTCAGCTGCGATATCGAAATTCATTCCCCACCATTTCTCAAAAATATTACAAAATGAAATAATTTTATACTGTTACATTAATTAGAAAAATTACTATCATCTGCTAAATCTTCATAAATTACATGATATATAACGATAATCAATAATTCATACTACAATTTTTACAGTATAAAAAAAATGTACCTTTCTGAGCTCATTAAGAGGCATACTGGAAAGTTGAAAGATGAAAATGATGAAGAAATCAAAAAAAAAAAAAATCATACTAAATAAACATTGAGAGGATCAATTTGGCAATAAAATTGTTGCTAATTTGTTGCGATCATTTGCAAATTATTAGTTACAATCGCATAAATTGTTCAAATCAATAAACCATGCTGGCATCATCAATACGTCAAATACGTGCGCCAAAATCTCAAATGTAGCTTTACACTGCCAAACAATGCCAATCATCAAAAACTATTTTATCCGCTTAAATTAATTAACTGATTTTGAGAAGCTAATAGAACGATTCAATTCAATTGAATTTTCATGAAAAATTGCGCATTAAATTTAACTTCTCCATCACATTTTATGATATATTTTCAATCTCAAAGAATTAAATTTTTAAATCTTTTACATCATAATTAAGTATTTTTAATTGATACGAAAAAACTAATCCAACAAATAACTCAAACATCATCTTTTCAATAAATAATTTGTCACATTCTATATCACCCATGGATTTAGAACAAAAAAAGAAATTAAATTTATATTTTGATTTCATTAACTATTGCTACAATTTTGATGTTAAACTTCCCAGAGAAAAACCCTGATTAATTTGTATTCATATGTAATTTCACTTATAAAATTATAAATTTCTTGGATTGGAAAAATTTTTCAAACTAGGAGAAGAAATTGACGAAATTTCTTTGTTTTAATTTTCGAATGATATTTTTAAAATTAATTTCCTGTGAGATTTTGATTTTCATTTAACAGGCTGTGGTAAAATGGGAGTACAGTCATTTATGAGTACGTGTGTTTCTGTTTTCACGTCACGGGACGCATTCATGCTGGGACGTAGTTCGGAATAAACCGGTATGTGTCATTTCACTTAGGGAATCACGTGTTTTATGTCTCTTTTTAGTTGCATATCATTTCACTGCTCACTTGTCATACGAAACATTTGAAAATGTTTTTATTTTCAGTGCTCCAAGAAATGTGACACTTTTATTTTTTACGTTGCAGTCTCTCGTGTTGTAATACCAAAAAAGGTCGCTAACACTTTTTAACGTCATTTCCATATCAAAGATTGAATTTGATCAATAATCATGTTTCCTTAGAATTTCCGTTCAAAATTTGTTATTTATATTTCAGATTTGCCTCTAAACTTTGAGTACATGGAATAATGGAAAAGTGAAGAGGGATGGGAAACGTTTTGTCGGCACCGATACCTAATCAAATATTAACCGTAGAAGCATGTATTTCGGATATTAGTGATGTGGAATATGTGGGAAGGTTTTTTCTTTTGCTTTTTTTGAAAATTTTCGCAGTAATTGTTTTTATGATTAATAGAATCCTTAATTTGAACGTAAATTTTATGAATAATCGTTCAACAAGATAAAGTTGTAACACATAATTACAGTAAATATATAACATGTGAGTGCAAAAAAAATGTAAAAATATAAATGTAATAAGTATTATATCAAATATAATATATTAAGACTAGTAACAACACCGTTGTTCATGGCAGCAAAAAGGAAAAAGGCAAGGAAAGATTGCCGTATCACTCTCTTTGTTTCAATGAATGTCAGTATTGCTATAAATTTCAAATATATTATAGTTGTTTTTTTTTTAACTTGCTGTGATTAAGCTGCTCAAGTATTCGTTTGTTTCAGCCTGGGAAGTACTCGATTTATGAAAGTAGCTCGAGTGGATCATGTGGAAGGTCCTTCAGTTCTCAAAGTTTTTATTCTTCAAGATCCATCATTTTCGATTGATCTCTACCGTGACCAAGTACTTGTCTTTCTTTTTTCTTTTCTATAAATGTAAAAAAATTTTTTTTGAACTTCGGAAATTTCTCTTGTTCAGGTTATTCAAATCCGTGATCTCCTATGCAATGCCTACAATTGCTGTCCTTTCAGACGAGTATATGTAAGTAATACTGATAAATGTCCGAATATTTTTCAAAATTTTCTATTATGATTTCTTTACACTGAATTTACAAACAAATTCAAATTTTCCTTATGATATTAGCCCCTTTTGTGTTTTTGTGTTTCTTAAGTAGTGAAGTTAGCTTATGAAAGTATCAATGAGATTTTTAATTTCTCTGCTGTATTAAAAAAAGAAAACTAAATTTGGTAGGTTTTGAATTGCATCATTATTCATGAGATTTAAAAGAACTGTGTATGTTTTTAAAAGTTTACAATTTAGGTTACATCACGCTGTGTTATTCTGTCTCGGCCATTCCAGAAGTACACTCTTTATGACCGTATAACCACACATCCTTATCTTACGGATATTGAGAAAAGATGGATTACTTTTCATCTGTTCAAGGTCATTAATTCTTACTTTGTATCTATCAGTGAAAATTTTCGATAATTGATTTGTTATTAATTTTTCCTTTCATTTTGTTCAGGCACTTGCTCAGTGTGAATATGCCGAAGTATGCCATGGGGATATAAAAACTCAAAATATCCTTGTTTCGAGTTACAATTGGGTACAAATAACCGATTTCGCATCATTCAAACCTGCTACTATTCCATCGGTTTGTAAAATATTTGATTATATGTTTCAGTACTCGATACAAAGCACAGTAATTCTAGGTTTTCCGCTGTGCGTCACTTTTCTTTGCTGAAAATTTATTCCTCTATCATGTTCATACTTTTCGTGGTTCAGTCATGTTTACCATTCTCTCTTCTGGATCAAGCGATAATTTTCTCCCAGATGCTTTGTAATATCATGTATTAAGCGAAGGAAAATTTGTATAACTTGAAAATCAAAAGCCCTGATTATTGATAATAAGTATTTGTGTCAATACTTCAGGATGATCCATCATATTTCACATTTTTCTTCGATACGAGTCGAAGGTTAACTTGCTGTCTGGCACCAGAAAGATTCTGCACCAGTCAAGAACTAAATTTGCTTCCGAATCTTCCGGGTGAATTTATGGATGTCTCCAAAGGCCTCACACATGCTATGGATATCTTTTCTCTTGGTTGTGTTCTTGTTGAGCTGTTTACGGAAGGCCAATGTCCATTTACTTATGAATTACTGGTTAAATATAAGTACGTTAGTTAAAAAAAATTTTGAAATTTTCTGATAAATTATGGTTTTTCCAAGCGCTGAAGCTTTTTTTAAATTTTATTTGAAAATAAGTTGAATAACTCAAGGTTAGTATTTTTAGGCATGCGTCTGACATAGAGGCACAAGCAACGATTCAAAAAATTCAAGAACAGTTACCTGAAGAATTACGCAGTATGATCGGTCTGATGCTTCATCGAAACCCAGCAAAAAGGCCGAAGGCGTCAGTTTTAGTAGGCATTTTCATTCTGTAAGAATTACAGTTATAATGTGGTACTGATTTACAGAATTCGCTTTGGAAAAAAGCTTGATTATGTAAAATCAAAACGTTGCAAATGTAGCAATCTAGTCATTCTAAGTAATTAAATGTGACTACTGCGAAGCTATTAAACATTTAGAATCGGAGGTCTTTTGGGAGCTGATTCTTGATGATAACATTTTGTGATTTTGCTATACATGAGAAACAAAATGCGTAGATCTCTGGATGATCTTAATGCTAGAATAAGCATCTAATTAAAATTTTCAGAATTCAATACTATTTTTTTCTAATTTAATCTTCAGCTTCTCTACTGCCCCTTTTTTTATTTTTTTGCTTTTTTAACTACTCATTTCAAATTTCTTTCATTTAAGAGAAAGTGAAACACAGGTGTAAAAGGGTTTTCTTTTCATTTTAATAAATAAGCATTTACTTCATTCTTCTGTATTGTGAGAGTTTGTGGTAAAACGTTTACTTCATTTTTGAAAGTTAAATTTTAAGGTTCGAGATTATTCCCCACTTTTATTTCCACCAATATTCGATCAATTCCTTTATGGTTATATAAATACTTTTCGACCAAAATATGTACAAACAAGCGCATCGCTTGAAGAAGCGCAAACTTCAGAATTAATAGAGCCGGATGATGCGATTACAAAGTTCGTTTAATTCACTATTTTTTAAAATTGTGGTGGTTTGAGAGATGTCGAGATACTTTTGCCATCTACAGATTTATGTTTTCCTAATTTTTTTATATATTTCTGTCTAGGAATCTTATTTTGTTCAGAAAATAGCTAATGCTAATAGTAACATTATTTTATAAGCCACGCGGACTTATACTTACTTCATCAGACTAACACTTCATTATTATCGGCCTCTTGTATAAAAGGTTTAAAATATGCATATACTCTTCGGTTTCCGATATTAGGAAAAATTGAAACCAGAATTATTCAGATTATCGTTCGATATGCAGGCAACTGTGGGTAAATTATCAGAGAAGGCTGAAATTAATGGAAAACCATTCGATCAATTACGTGGCCTTTTACTTATCATTGCATTGATCACTTCAAATATGCGTTCATTAAAATCATTGACTATAAAATTTGTTAGCACATTTCTTTTTATATTTAATTTTTTTGAATGGAACTATAGTGTTTTTCTACATATGAAGAGATATTTGTCTGCATATCACTGAAGTGCATTCTGTAATCAGTTTTTGAAGAGTTGCTTATTCCATTTTATTGCTATGCATAAAATTAGGATTAAACTAAATATTCTTATTTAAATTTCATAAGCACTATTAAAAGATAATGAGAAAGGAAGACTAAAGAACTTTATTAGAAAAGAAATTAACTGGTATGTTAGTTCGAAAATAATTTTGAATGAAACTATTTTTAATTCATTTATCTGATGAATATCTATTAATTGCACTTTTTTCAATCTCAATATCTGAATTCTATGTTTTTAGCTATTATTCCAGATTAAATTAGATTTTTTTAGGAAGCTATGAAATTATTGCATAGGTACGTGCCGTGGGTTGATATATCGGTTGTTGCAAATCGTATATTGCCGTATTTGGTTTGTTATTTTCTCGTTGTTTTCGATATTTGAGCTGAAAATGTACACGAATTTATTTTTCGAATCAGATCAGCGTTTTAGCTTTTCGTATCCATATTCCTTATGATAACGATTTTTAAATAATAAATTTTTATAGGTTGAAATGATGTTCGATTGCATGGTTCAA